TCCTGACATTAATTCCATTATCTCTCCGCTAGTATGGTTTCTTGGCCTGTCCAATGCTCTTCTCCTCGGCATCTCCCTATAATATCCTCATCAGACGGGTGAAGTGTTTTTCAGAAATAATGACACAACTTTTTACATCCACTTTATTGCATTTTGCAGAATTGTGTACTAAGGCAGTGTGGGTGCAGCTACAAGTAAGCTTATCGAGCTTCACAATATTCGTGACCTAAAGTCCTATATTTAAGCAGCTTAACCTGAACAGTAAACAGGCTGGCGTGGAGCTGTTAATGAAAGATTACGGGAGGAATGTTGGTTCTTGTTTCTTTTTGCATCCCCTGCTGGGTGCTGCTGTCACTTTAATTTCATATGAAAGGTGCAGGCTCAGCTGTGGGGCGGCTCCGGCCCTCCTCCTTCACAATGACACTCTTCTACTGTATCCGAAAGTGAAAGGCACAGCATTGCTTCATGGGAGTTCACATTGTCTGCTAATCAAATGATGTATACTTTCCAGGGTTCATCAGAGTCCAGGAGGAATGCTTGCTGTGTGAATATTTACTAGTTTTCTGACAGGGATTGTAAGGCTCATTCTCATCCTTTAGTTCATACAATCTCTGCACTCAGACAGATGTCACTCCTGAAAGCACATGGAAAGTGAGGATCACTCGGAAGATGACGTTATATCTTTGTGTTCATTTATTAAAGCAAAGCGTCACATATATCACATAGCCGACGTATCGGGGGCCCCGCAGGGTCCCTTCATCAGGGTAACATAGTGACTCCTCTAAGATGGCCTTCACTATTTTGGGAACATTACATTGTAGCTTCTCATTTCAAAAATCAGTCAAGCTCTAACACATTCATATTTGCAGAACGGAGACATTTGAAGTACTTTCTTATTCTGCATTTCAGAGTCTGGGAGTTGTGTTGCTCTGTGCAGACAGCCGAGGTGAATTTTTGGTATTTATTCAGAAATTAAAAGTAGAACTGATGCCAAAGCTTAGTTTTTTTCTTTATTTTTTTTTGTTTGCCACATGTGTTCTATCGGGGAGATTTCTCACTTCCTGTCGGATAGCTACAACAGAAAACGAGAGGAAATCTCTTCAAAGAACGGGTAGAACTCCCCTAATGGTCAGCAGATTTCCAGAAGTGGTGTCCCTACTGGGGATTTCCCATCTGTCACTGCTCTGAGGACAGCCTGAAATGTGGAATACTCTTTTACTTTTAGTGAGGACAGTCACCAAGACAAATAGAGTGAATCTCCCTAAAGCACCGTTCACACCTTCGTGTTCCGTCAGTGCTCATGAGCACGTGTTGTGCCTTTTGGGTGTGTTGTATTGTACTTTGTTTGGATTTTAACATATGATGTGCAGCAACACCTGCCATAGTATGCTTTAAGTGTGTTATGGTGCCTTGGATATGTGAACTGGAGCCATCATTACTCTTGAAGCATAACACTGTCATTGCAGTAGTTCCTGTAGAATTAGTTGGCCATGTCTTAAAGCAGAGACGTCACAAGGGGCGAGTGGCACCAAAATGACAGCCATTTTGGTGTCACCCCCTCTGAAAAGTCGGGCACTCGGTCATGGACAGAGCCCGACAACTGCAGGAGAGGAGGGGACCCAGCGGCATACCTCATCCCGCCAGGTGAACGTCCCCTCCTCTCTCTGCCGGCTTCCATCACCAAGATGACCGCCGGCAGGTGTCAAAAAGATGACTGCGCATGTGCGATGATGTCATGGCGGGGTGTCACCCAGTATCTGCTTTGGGTGACACCTGGCCTCAGGACGCCCACCGTCTTAAAGCGAAGTAAAAAAAGTGTTTGTTAATGTTTCAGTGTGAACGAGCTCTTGTAAAACAGCTTTACCCTTCTCTTCAAAATGACAACAAAATGTTTGGTAATGACAATCTACAAACACATACTTTGACATAATTGCCGGCTTGTTTTCCTTTTCCTCCCCAGTCTTCTCACAGTGGCCATTTTTTACTAAGGGCAGGTTATTGTATATCCTTTCTCTTCCTGGAACTCTGGCACATGTGACTAGGACATGTGACCATGGACATCATCTCAGTGGGGGAAAACATTCCTTTCCCTGAGATCTTTGGAGAGTTTGCAGTTTACGGATGAGATTTCCCAGCAATGGACAGCTGATGGAATCTTCCCGGGAAGCAACACTTGGGCACATTACATCACTAATGCCCAAGAGGATCAGGACGTGGAAAAATGGTAATTGTAGGTAAAAGATAAATGTTTGTTTAAGGAAGGAATGCAAGCTGACTCCATTGACTGTTGATGTGATTTTTAGGGAAAGGGGGTAAAGGTCCACTTTGAAGTGGAAGTAAACTGCTGATAGAAAAAAATGGGCCTGAGGAGCGGTTTGCTGTGACGTGCCGGTGCATGCTGCATATTAACACATCATGGCAGACTTGCCTACAGAAGTGATCCCCTCCAGCTCTGCTCCCTCTGACCACTGGTGCTTCTATCTTTGTTCCGGCCCTCCTCCGGGTTCTTAGTCTTCAGCCGACTGATTGGCTGGGCCCTGGTGACTTCACTCACATGCGCACAGCAGTTACTTCATTTTGGAAAGAATCCTGCCACATGCCCGGTTTAGTGTACTCTGATCAGAATACGTGTGGGAGGTTCATTCATCCGCGCTCTGGTCATATGTTTGTTTTTGTTCAGCCTCGCATATAACCGCATCTACTCAGCTTTACACCATCTCTTTTAAAATGCTTTTACAGCTTATCAGTTTAGTGCTATTCGCCTGTACAGACGCCGGATCGCTTGTAAATTGACAGCAATCGCCTGCTGTTAAGAGCGGTACCAAGAACACGGCTGCTGCAGCAGCCGTGTTCTTGTTTTAATCACTTGCTGACCGGGGTGTTTATACCCCCTTCCTGACTAGGCCATTTTTCACTACTTTGCTGTACTTTGACTGACATTTATTCCGTCATGCAACGCTGTAATGATATGAATTTTATACCCTTTTTTGGGGACACAGAGTTTTCTTTTGCTGGTATTTAATCACCACTTTTGTTTTTTTTTTTTGCTGTATAATAATACTGGCATTTTTGAAAAAAAACCTGTTCTCCCTACGTTATGTTATAAAACATTTATTATTACCCCATTTTTTGGTAAAATATAAAAGACGGGGTCACGTCGGGTAAATAGACACCAAACATGTCGAGCTTTAAAATTGCGCGCACCCGTTAAATCGCAAAAAAACTAGCATACTCAAAATTGACCATAGCCGACGCTTTAAAAGCTTTTACCGCTCATCAGTTTAGTGTTATCCGTGATTGATGACCCTAGAAATATTGCTCTCACTCCGACGTTCGCCGCGATATGTAACATGTGCGGCGCAATGGATGTAATCTGCGTTTTAGCACGTAGGCGGGCTAGACGCATGTTTGCGTGGGGGTGGGGGACTTTAATTTTTTTATTATTGCTTTGATATGTGATTTTTTTATTTTGTAACATATTTTTTTGTAAACCTTTTTTTTTCCACTGAACTTTATTGCTATATTGCCAATTTGCAGTGACAGGTTCTCTTTATGGAGACATCAGTGACCCATAATGTCACCTAGGGACCCCCAGAGAAGCTGATGAAGCAGAGACCTGCTCCGGTTTCTGTACCGGAGAGTGATCGAGGAATGCGGAAGTGGTGTAACACACATCACTGCCTACATTCAGAAGAGGAGATCAAACAGAGATCGTGTACTGAGCTCCGTTTGATCTCCGGCCGCAGAGCTGCTGTGCTGGTCCCGGGCTCACACCGCCGGGAACAGTGGAGCCCGGGATCGCTGGCGACGGAGGGGGGGCACACACCCGACCGCATATTACAAGCGATCGGGCGTCTCTACAGACGCCCGAACGCTTGTATGTAAACAGCCATCGCTGTTTTTTTTTTCTACAGACCCGGCACTCAATGTGTAAAAATCGGTAAACATGCGCTGCGTTCAGATCTGTGACATACAAATAGAAGGATCTGTCTATATATGTGCGTACATGTCATGCAATACACGCGGGCCGGACCAATCCCAGGATTTGGTCTAGTGATGCAAATAAAGGAAATATACTCCTGTGATCCTCAGTCCAGCCTGGCTGTTAGATTGGTACCTGCAGCCTCAGTCTAAGGAACGAGATGTGCTCATGTCTAATGCAGGTTCTATAGATTTGCATTAGACATGAGGACACCAAGGGACATACCACAGCGGGAGGGCGGAGGGGGGGGGGTTCAGAGGGGAGGGCTGCAGGCCTGAGGATTGGGTGAGTATATTTTCTTTCTTGTGGCCCCTAGACCAAAACTAGCACTTAACCCTTACAGTGCCGGGGTAGCTCCACTTCAAGGGTAAGTTTTATAAAAACCTGGAGTTATCACCCAGCCCAGCCATGGACATGACACCACTGACCCACACAGACTGGACCATAGTGTCCTCTCTGTGCCCCCGCCTGTGGAGTGGACAGTGAGGAGCAGCAGGAGAGTGATGAGGTCTGCTCTCTTCTGCTATCAGTATCCGGCTCTGGTCCTCTCCTTCCTCTCTCTAGTTGCATTAAAACTTTTTTTTGCTTTGAATATTTTATTTTTTATTATTTTTATTCAAAAACAAAGAAGTCGTCGGGTGGAGGTGATGAGTGCGTTGTCAGCGTCGTGTCCTGTGATGTGAAATGCTTCTCCATACTCATGCACAGACACAACGGCCCTCACAAGGTAGGGGAGGCCGAAGCTCCGAGTGTCTTTGTTCGCAGCTCTCAGACAAGTTGGAGTTGCGATGTCTCGCAGCGATCTCAGGGCTGCCTATGGGGGGTATTGTGTGCTGAGGATCTCACGCAGCGATCCGGTCCGGGATTTGGAGGCAGCTCTTGCCGGATCTACTTCCCTCTGCTGGGGGTGGGGCTGCGGTCCTGTCGCTCGGAGGGATCTGCTGGGGCTGCTAGTTCGCGGCGGCGGAGGAGAGTGCGGGAGAGCGCGGTAGAAGTGTCCCGGGCACGGAGGCTCGGCGGAAGTTGATGGTAGTGGAGCCGGAGCGGAGGTCATGTGATAAGAGCCTGGCACACAGGTGAGCGCTGCCACGTACATGGAGTGTGTCACTCCGCGGCCAGCTGACACTGACAGCCAGAGGGAGAGGAGTGATGTCACTGGGACTTAACCTGTCATGTGCCGCCGTCACATCATCATCGTCCTGTCCTAACAGTTGGACGCCTCTTATCAACAATAGGCGGCGGCGGCGGCGGCCTTTTATTTCCTGTCCGTGTCCCGGCACGGTGCTGTTAACTCCTTCTCTGCCGGCTGACAATGAGCCAACTCTTCTGTTGTCTGTCAGCTGATCACTCTGACTACCAACAACGTGCCCCCCCTCCCCCCTTTTTATTTTTTGGATTTTCACCATGACGAGGGGAGCTCCTCCAGTACAGGCAACAAGTTGTAGCAGATCTACACCCAGGGGACAACGTTGTCATAGATTGCAGCTGACCCTTCCTCACATGTCATGGCTGCTTTCAGCGCGGACACGAGAGGGGGGAGGGGCAGGACGTCTTAAGACGCCCTCCCGCTCTGAGCAGACGTCCATCTGGCCGTTCACAAACGGCCATGGACGTAAGGTAGTTAAGACATCTTTCCCGTGATCCGGCCAATAACACATTTCCTGTCTCAGGGCAGGGTCACACCATTTTCAGGTTCCAGTGCATGTCAGACCAGACAAAATGAGACCTGCAGTATTTGTCTGGTCTGGAATGGTCTGCGCTGGTGTGAAGAGACCAGAAATAGCATAGGGATACATTGGGAGGAATTATATTTTTTGGAAACTATCTGATCGGGAGATAAACTGGATGTGGTGACTACGCTCACTCTCCTTACTGCATCTATGGAGGGGCAGCATTGTTATCCTAGGACAGGAAGTGTTTGAACACTACAGGAACCCCCCCCTTTCCTTTATCTCTACAACATAAGGGGAGGTGTTTTTGGTCCACAGAGAGAGCTGGGAACAATGTGAGCTGATAAGAGTGCAGTGAGCAGCTCGCTGGATTTCTGGGAGAGCAACAGGTTTTTATTAATTTTTTTGCACGTATCGGAATGGTGTTCTATTTAGCAGACCAAAAGAGAGCACACCAGAAGTTCATTGATCGGGGCATACATGCACTTTAACAATAACAGTTTCTTCATTACAGTGAGAGTGTAGGTACAATCTACACATGGCAGAGTGCAGTCGGTGTTGACCTGGAAGATATATTTGGAGGGGGTGTCAAAACTGCAGCACGTAAACATATGTTGGCCCACCTCACCCCTATATACAAAACAATGGTAATAGAATGGGGCTTCTAGGTGTCAGAAACAAACAAAAGAGAGCGCTACTACCTGATATTGAATGGCATCTATTCATATAGGAAAGAACAAATGTGTGTAACTTACAGTTTGGAAGCTTCTAGGTGTCAAATCATTATATAAATAATCTATATTTTTAATAAAGAAAACTTATTTTATTTAATATTACATTAAAACACAGTACAGATAAAGTAAATAAAGTTCCATCAAAGCTGCATGATGGGTAGAAACTGTGACTGGCAAGCAACAGGTTCTCTTCATTTTCAAAGCTGAACTAAAGAAACTGAAGAGAGAAGCTGATTGGTTACCAAGGACAACTCCAGAGTCTGTCTGCTCCAGGTTTGGTAGCTCCCTCCCCCCACCCCATGGTGCTTCCAGATAACCTGGCCCTCTGGTGGTTGTTGGTTATTACAGGTATTTATATACCAGTATTACATTCTAAGCTCCTATCTGACAAGTATGCACCCACACATAGTGAGGCCTATTTAGACAGGAGCCAATGGAGCGTGGTGGGAGACCATGCAAATTCAATGCAGATAGTGTCGGGCCACACAAGAGAATGACCCCCCCCCCCCCCCCCCAAGTCACTGCTAGTTCTATTTATCTTCTAGCCGGTGTAAAAATCAATTTCCCACACTGGTTACCTAAAAATACAGTTCTATATATATTGCAAACTTGGAGTCCTGAGCCAGTTGGCAGATTGTCTGTCTGTCTGTCTGTCTGTGCGTTGCTGGTCACACTGGGCTCAGTACAATCTTCCAGTTCATTTGGCTCTGAGCTGCCCAGAAATCTCTCCTCATAGTCTGCAGCATGACCGCTTTCATGCGCTTCAGTTTGTTGATGGGTTGCCAGGTCACAGGCTTGCGTCGGTTGCTTGATATGAGTTTTCTGGACCCCAGGTCTGTTCTTTCCAGCAAGTACCAGAACCAGGATTGAAGTGAATGGTGCAGAGTTTGTGACCGGAGAATAGATAAACTTGGTGCTATGTTTTATCCTGAAGTTCAGCTCTGTGATGGTATCTTGTGTGCACCGAGTTGGGTTCTCACATTGTACATGTTTTTTTACAGAACAATGTACTCAGTTTGGTGAGTTTCTGATCTTTCAGTGTGCATTTGGTGTACTAAAGAAGAACTCCCAAGTTTGCAAAAAGTTAACCTTAGCGTTATTTCCCCGAAGCCCCTAAAAGTAAAGTAAAACATATTTAATAGAAAATGAATAAATAAATAAAAAATTAAAAAGTTTATAAAAAATGAATAAACATAAAACTGAAAAACCAATTTGAAAGTAAAAATAAAAAACATTTTCGGTTTTTAAATTTCATTTCGGTGCACCTCCTAGAATATATAGTTATGATGATTTCAATAGGAAAAGTTCAACACATTAGTATTCAAACAGGACAGTGCAGAACATCTAAATGCAGCAATTAGAAAATAGGACACTTCGCGTAGATGACACACAGGTGTGGAGCTTATACATGTCAGACATTTAATACAAGCAGAAGTCTCAGGTCAATAAGCCGGCAGTAGATGATTTGATGGCCGCAGGCACCTCAAAATGTATTCAGATTGGAAAGTCCCTTTTATGATTTGGGTGTAATAACGCTAAGGCCTCATTCACACACAACGCAAGAGCAAAATTGTACGCATATTTGTAAATGTGCAGACGCATAAATACGTGAACTGTATACAATACCAGAATGCATAATTTTTTTTTTTAAATCAGATAGTTTTTATTTGTTTTTGCATAATAGAAAATACAAAAGACATTTACAGAAACAAAAACACAAAGAAAAAGAGAGAGCATCCATATCCATAAGAGCCACATAATGTAATTCGACAAGAACACCGCCTGCCTATAAAAGAGCACATTCAATAAGAATGCATAATTTTTAATAGAAACTTTAGTGTACTGTATATGGATGGATCCATTTATTTGCATATGGGAAAAAAACACTGTGCGCATCTACCCTGTTTCCCCAAAAATAAGACCTACTCCGAAAATAAGACCTAGTACTTTTTTTGGGAATTGTTCAAATATAAGACCTACCCCGAAAATAAGACCTAGTTGTGACCATTCCCAGGGCCGGTGGTGGCATAAGGGGGAACTTGAAGATCGGCGGGTGAGGCGGGAGATAATCAGCGGTGCCAGCGCTAGAGGAAACGAGGCGACACCGGAGGGAGCAGAGCCGCATAAGCCGTTGCCTCCTCTATAGTGCAGGCTCCTGTCACAGGCGGAGTGATGCCAAATGCACTCCGCCTGTGAGGAATCGATAGTGAAAGTGCGCTTCGCTCATTCTGGCCAGCGATTGGTTACCAAATTGCTATTGGAAAGGTACAGCACCCCTGATTGCCATATTTTTGTTCATGAATACATGTAGACTGTTGTACATGAATAAGTGTGGATTGTTGTACATTGAAGAAAAAAAAGACCTACCCCGAAAATAAGACCTAGTGTGTTTTTTTTTTTGAGCCAAAAAAAATATAAGACAGTGTCTTATTTTCGGGGAAACGCAGTATGCGCAGCGTATTATACGTCATTGTGAATAAGGCCTAACATGACACACACATGTAGGATTGTTTCATGATCCGTGCGGTTTTCACTCTTATAGTTTTCTTCCATTTTTGCAGTGGCTCCTCTTACTATCGCTGTCTCCTATGGAGCCACAGCTGAGTGCATGCTGCCCCCAATTCTTCACTGCTGCGTTCAGTCGATCTATATGCCATCACACACAGAGAGGGTGGATCTGAATGGGACAGTCTCGCCGGTGGGGGGAATAGGGGGGAGAGGGTGCACCCAGAAGATGGAGCCTCGTTGATATGAATTAGGCAGTTCAAACCTTTAAAAATAATGGCATTATAAAAGGCCTGTGGATACAGAAGTCTCTTTTGGAATACTGGGTTATTACTGATCAGTTTGGGTTATACATCATGTGCACCATACACAGGATTGCAGTGGAAGCTCCTAGAGATGAATTTGTTACATTGGGCCTTGTGTGTGAAAACTGGGGAAGGTGGAGGTGTTGCCCTAATTCAGGGTGGAGAAATTAATATGGAATTCAGGTGCCAGTCTGCCCAATCCAGGAGCCAGCAGGATTATTTTTAGCAGCCATCTCCATTGACAACAACTAGAGAGGCTCAAAAGTAAAGTGCCAGTTGCGATTTTAAAGGAGCATTGACGACCTGGCGCCTGGGATTTGTCCAGCCCTGATCTAAGCAACCAATCAGATTTTCTGCCTCCGATGGAAAATGTTTGTTCTGTTCTTTTTGTATTTGTTAGGCCTAGTCTCCCTTCGCACCTGAGTGTTTTGTGTACGTGCATCAAACATGTAAAAAATGGGTGCTTTGATGGGCGCTCATGAAATGCGTCACATGCTTGCTGCGCCTTTACCATTTATGGCCCCTTAAATGCGGCCAGGCAAACGTGCATTTTTCTTCAGTGTGTGCACTTGCGTTAAAACATTCTCAAACTCAGAGGAAAAAACTGCAGAACATGACACAGATTTTGTTAAATGCACCACTTTAACACGTTCAGGACCCCAATGAAATGAAAGGGGACGCGCTGCAAATGCAGAAAACAATCATGAACGCAGTGTCTAGTCCTGCTGTGCTCAGGTGTGAAGGGGGCTGTGTGCAGTTTGTACAATATACCCTTTTTGTTGGTAAATATAATAGTCTCATCACTCCCATGTATTTGTTCAGCAAGGTGCTGAATCTTCCGTCATCCACAAAATAAATACAA